ATATTCGATGTTTTATCGGTCGTTGCTCGTTTGTTAGAGAAATTATATCGCTACTTGAAAATAGCAAGTGAAGTTCGAGTCTAGACTGTAGTTTACTATACATATTGCAAAGGCCAAATTTCTCTCATGTTGCAGAAAAAACATAAATTAACTTAGATTCATGTAGGACACGTTGGGAATCGAATCCACGACTAAATGGTTATAATCCTTGTGCGTGAGTAAATAAAAAACTTTGGTCCCCCCGTGACCACGGCTGTTGCAAGCATCCGAAACGTCGGGCCGCAGTTTAAAAAAATGTAAATACCTTCTAATTTATAAACATACATAATGTATATTCATATCAAATGATTGTATGAGCGCAGTCTAACAGACGAACAGTATGGTTTTGCTGAAACTCAGTGTCGTAGCATGACCATGCTGCATCTTATCTAATCTTTTCGTATTTATTGTTTTATTGTGATTAAATTTATTTCTACTACCACTACTAATGAATGTGCTAAATGTACCCTTCGACGTCCAAAAAACTATCTAAAATCCCCCTGTACCTAGTCAGCACAGGTCCCCCAGTAAGTTGTGGGTAGTATTGTCTTATGGCCTCCCAATATTCAACTAACATTTAACTAGAAGTGACAATCGTAACTGACAGGTAAAAGTTTTGCGTTTCAATATTCACAGATAGATTGACATTTCAACAATTGGTTGCAACTGACTGTAGTGAGGGACAACTCATCATTGATAGGTTCCTTCATACAAAAAAGAAAAATATATTATAATACTGTGTTAATACTTACAATTTTAATTGAAGCCATTTTGTTATATTTCCATTCCATTTATTATATCCAGTCACGAAGTCCTATTATTTTTTCACAGTTTCAATTTACAAAAAAATATAAACACAATATTAAAATTTTAAACTGATGTATAAGACTGTCGGTTTGACAGCATAAGACAAGCCTCTAAAATCCGTTACAAGCAACGTCAATCCCTAAGAAATAAAAAATGATTTGAATTAGTATGTATTTATGTTATTTTTAATTTAAAATTTTCTTTATAAGGTTTACGAAATCATATTTAGATTTGATAAATGAATAATATGCAAATATTTATTCATTAACTATTATCGCCGTTTAGAATCATCATTGTTATGAGTAGAACATGTAAAACGGGACGTTTGAGAGGCTAAGGTTAACCTATGACAGCCTTGTCTATCTTCTTTTTTATCTTTGATAGGCACGTCAAAAAAAAAATTAAAACGCCAGTTACAGCTACTTTAATTTTTACTGTTTAACAGAGATGACTATCCGCCATTGACTGACAATACGTTATTGGAACCGGCCGTAAATCATTCAAGTACAGAGATTAACACGTACTCCCAGGTACTACAAGCCATAAATGCGTTTATATTGAAAACTTTAAACACATACTAAGGTGTTAAGATTGAAATTACATTGCGCGAGAGGTGCATGCGTCAATAGGTTGAAAAAAAATCGACCATTGTGTAGACTTGGTAGACTCAATTCGGTCACATCAACAGCACGGAACGCTGACGATGTTCAGGACTTGCTCGAGACGTATTTTTTGTTTTTTTCAATTTATAATCGATTTTTAATTTAAATCGTTAAATGTATTTTTTTTTAATCCCTTATTAAATTATTTTATTCCAATGTAGGTAACAACTCTACGTTTTCCAGAACAATCGTTGGTGTTCATATCTGTCACACAATTTATCGCAACTTCCCGAGTTCCTAGTCGATGCATTGACATCGGAAATATCCACAGATGAATGTAAACAAAACTAACTAAGGTCAATCTTACATGTGCAAACAGTATTACCACTATTATGAAACTGTAATAGTTTCGTCCGTTTATTGAAAAGATAGAGCTTGATAGAAGGTGAAATACCCCCGCCATATAACATTTTGCCAAGGTGCGCGGGCGACCTATTTGGCTTTGGAAATGAAATCGTTGGACGGTGGTTCGTGTCGAAATTCCAACATTTCACAGATAAAATAAAAATACATACTGTCTATAGTTTACGCGAGTAGTACACATTTAAATAAAACACTTTAACGGTTTAAAACGCGATATATTAGTTAAACTTATTTAAAAATGATTTTTAACTTCGGCCCGACGTTTCGGATGCTTTGCAAGCAGCCGTGGTCACGGGGAGAAACTTATTTAAAAATCATTTTTAAATAAGTTTAACTAATATATCGTGTTTCAAACCGTTAAAGTGTTTTATTTAAATAAAAATACATGTAAATGTTGAGCCTTGTAGGGATCGAACCCGCCACCGTTGATAATAAAGAAATACATTTCTAACATTACAACGTAAAAATGTTTTATTTATATTATACTTTCAGTGTAAAAAATGCAATTTCTTTGATACAGAATATACTTAAATATTTGAATACCTACCTTATTTACGCAAATAAATTACGGTTTCCTCAACCTAAAACAGCTTTAGTAAAGCTTTTTTTTATTATATATATTTCAATACACAGACATCTCTCTTAAACAATATAATAGCTAAATAGAGATGTAGTTTGATGTCGATAAATTTTATTATCTAAATAATTTACGACTGGTATATTAAATATTTATTATTGGGACAATGCTAAAGTAATTAATTAGAATTCAATTAGCCCGTGACCCAAAGGCACCGTGGCCTATGGCCCATGGCCCAAGTATCAGCGACATTGGTGGTCAATTTATCTAAAGCAACGATAGAGAATCAATTGAAATGTTTCAAACGTCTCGATCAATCTAATTGTTTATTTCGAGGACAAATTAGTTGCACTAGTGTTAATAATTGTCACAGAAAGTGAAGAAATATATATGAGGCGGCTAGGGGCAGAGTAGCCTAAATGCAATTTTATGACTTGAGTTATTTATATTTTCATAGTCTAAAAATGTTAATCTACAAGAACATTGACCGAAATTTGTTAACATATTTTTTGCACAAATAATAGTACAAATTCATTTTAGTCTAAGTTAATTGTGCATTTTTATTTGCCTTATTGAAAATCATGTTTTTTGTTATTAGGCCACACAGCCTCACTTATATATAATATATAAGCGTTAGGGTGAAGTATGGTTTAGACTGAGTAATTAAAACTTGCGTGATGGACTGGAAACTGGATTAAGAATAATATTAATCAAGAATTACACCTATAAAATAAAATTAGCCAGTACCCAATACAAATTTTAATGACCGATGTTTACAAAATAACAATGAAAAAGTCAAGCTTTATGCATACAAGCTTACATATATTTCGTTCGGAAAAATTTGAGATTTGTAAGTGTGTCGGAACTTTTTATAAATAAAATTTTTCACTAGCTGTACCCGCGACTTTGTCCGCGTGGAATAGTGACTGTTTATTAATTAATGTAAGGGCGCATTTAAGGCAGCCAATCTATGTTGTAAGTGCTACTTTGCCGCAACACTCTCACCTCACATCACTCCTACTCGAACTCCCACTCTAATTCCTACACTCACTCCCATTCCCACTCCCACTCCTATACCCAAAAAGCCAAAGAAGAAAGTTTCATTGTTCTATCTTCAAAAACCACGAATTTCCATACAGACTTTCATCCCCTTTTTCCAACCCTTATCAACCCTTTTTTGGCATTGAAAAGTAGTTTTTTCAGGTTCTAAAATATCTGTGTACTAAATTTCATTTAAATCAGTTCAGTAGTTTCAGAGTTAAAGCCGGACAGACGTCAGAAGTTAAAAATCATTTTCAGATAAGTTTAACTGATATATCGCGTTTTTAACCGTTAAAGTGTTTTGTTTAAATGTGTACTACTCGCGTAAACTATAGACAGTATTTAAATGATAATAATTAATATTATCACTGAACTAAAGATTATAAACCACAAGTAACACTGGGGGTGCATCTTGTTATTTACGTTATGATCTATTACGATACTATATGTTTTGTAATTTTTTGTTAGCTTCACACTCGAATGATGATATCTTTAATTAATCTATTACTAAACACGTCAACTAGATAAGCAGATAGCCTAGATCCTCTGACACAGTTTGAAAACAATTGACCGGCGCTTGCGCATTGCTTTGTTTAATATTAAGTCGCACAGTGCGGTAAGGCTTGGGAGATTTCAATATTGTTATAGCTGTATAACGAATTGTTTAAGACAATACTCTATTGGAAAAAAAGCTAGGATATAAGGTCTTTTATAAAATACATAAAAAATGGATTTGGGAAGGTCATTTGTCTTATTGTTTAGGTCAAATAAAACTAGGTAAACACAAGTGTCTAAAATACCTAAATTTTAATTTATGAAATTGAAAAAATTGACGAGACGGACAAGGACTTGAACTGGCATCCACACCGCTCCGTGCTGTTGGTCTAACTTTTATATAGTGCCAGCGTGTGATAAGTGTAATACTTGAAAAATATACCTATATAGTTTATTGTTTTAAACAATATAAAAGTCTGCGTTTTGTAATGAGTAAAACATTGTTTGTTTTAATTTTTTTTTAGGGTTCAGAGGTAATTTACTCATTATAACGAAGATACCAAGTATTGTGGATTATCCGATTTTTATTGGATTTCACAACTGTGTAATACAAGTACTGTGGTTAACCGCATACGACAAATTGACCGCAAAACGTTTGGTCATTGCACTATTGTCAGGTCGTTCCACTTAAACCTATCTCTTCTCTATTTAATAAGTTCAACGCTAACTTAAGCACGTGCACAAAACAAGTACCCCTTCAGTCTGCGCCGGCGCAGCAAACCAAACACCTTTTGATTAGTACAGACATGTTATGTATATACCTAGGAGATAGATGAAGTTTAAGACTAAAATAATAAAAATGATTAAAATAAAATTTCTGGACACTGGCTGGGCCCACGTCAGACCGACTAACGGATGTTAATTACGCACCAATATGACGTGTTTATGAAACCTTTCGAGAAGTTGTTTAGGTTTAACTTTAATATCATGCGTTGAACCAATATCTTTCATTACAGGATCCCAAGATCTATGATGAGCCATGCGACATATCGCGACCTGCAACACCAGAAACCAACGTGAAAACAGACTTCCAAAAGTTAAAGGAAAATTTCGAACACGTCAAGCTAGAGAAGCCGAAGATCGCTAAGAAGCCACTGAAAAAAGTGTGGAAGTCCACGGAAAATGTTTCTCAAGAGTTCAGGTTCGCGAAGAAGAGTGTTGAGAAGAAATTCGCGACGGAGACAAAGAGGTACAGGCGTATGGAGAAGGATAGAGTGGGGTTCAGTCTGCCCAAGACTGACGAGCAGTTGGATGTCGATAGAGAAAACGTAAGTATGTTAATAGTATACTAGAATAGGTCGGGCCGTAGTTATAATATTTTTTAAATAAATTCAACTGATACATTTCGTGTTTTAAACTGTTAAGAGTGTTTTATTTAAATATGTACTATTCGCGTAAACTACAGCAGAACTAAATTGTCGCTTACGCCATCTAGTAGCTCGTCGTGAATGTACTAAATAGATATCGAGAGAAATTTTGATAGATGGAGCTGTTTCACATAATATACACATTTATTTAAATAAAACACTTTTTAACTGTTTAAAATGGTATGTTAAATTAAATTTACCGTACGACTCGTTTCTCAACCGATGCTTTACAACACGTGGTTATGCAGTATCATATAAATAATATAATATGTTTTAAAGGCCGTTAAACCTGTTTTATTATAAAAGTATTACTCGCGTAATTAACAATTAATACACAGTTATGCAAGTGCAAATCGAAAGGTCGTACACAGACCCTAAAAGCCTTGCAAAATGGCCGCGAAAGCTTTTTACGCTCTTGTGTTATTTTATATATATAAATGTTTAATGATAGTGGAAAACATACTAGCACTTAATGGTAGGCGATATACTTCAGCCATGTAACATCTAAACAAGATGCGATGTCGACCTTTTTTAGCTTTGGATATTCGGAAATTAGATTGAAACCGAAACGCGATTAAATGTTACGGCTTTTTCATCTATGGACGTTGATTCGATTTTCCTACCACCAACTAATATACATACTATAATATATATAAAAATAATATAGAATAATATTTAGATTAGTAGAATGAAAGGCTGCTAGAGCCAGAGTGGCTTAATAACAAAAAACATGATTTTCAATAAGAACGAACATAAAATTGCGCAAAAACTTAGGGGAAAATGAATTTGTACTATTGTTTGTGTAAGAAATATGTAACCAATTTTTGGTTACTGTGCTCTTGTAGATTAACCTTTTTAGATTATGAAAATTGAAATAAGTCGTAAAATTGCAGTTAGGCTACTCTGGCTCTAGTGGCCTCATAACAAAATTCTCACACTAAGTCAAACAGTTCAATGTACTTAGCAATTATGAATGGACCTTGAAATGGCTTTGCGTAAAACGTACTATGTGTGAAGATCTGTTTAATTACTAACTCGAATAATAGATCATTATTTTATTTGACAAGCAATAAAGAAACATATTGTGGATGAAATAAGGTACACTACGAAACATAATTAATAGGTAAAATTGGTTTAGATGCAATGGGATAAAAGACCAGAAAAATGAGACTACCCACATGTATTAGTTTATCAGTTTATCTTCTTTCCTCAGTCTTAATTTTTACTTTGAATAAATATAGTTTTTTAACCTTTATAATAAAGGAGAACAGACAAGACAAAATACGATTAAACTTCACGACTTTTTCGTCTGGACGGTGGTTAGTGATCCGAATGCAATTTCGAAATTCTTACCACCTATTTAATATCGAGATTTCTAGCCAACGCTGGACATGATACAGAAAAATTATAAATCTATTAGAAACTTATTATATTATTACCATTGGGAATCGAACTCACTACCTTTCCTTTTCCTCATTTCAACAGAATATTGAAAAGCTAGTTTGTTATATATTTTTTTAGTATTCAAAGAAACAAGCTCACTAAGCCGACACACTCTGTCTCGATCCCCTCCCCCTCGCCCCTCTCCCCTATGTCGTAATCATTCACGTAAAATTATTCTCTGGCTTATTCGCTACTAATCCGAAATTAATGTGTGTTGGGTGCATATATGGTATCAAACAATGTATCCACTATACTCACTGTTTGATACCATTTATAACTACATCAGTTATTACATAAAAGATAACAAACTCATCAGACAATCGTGTCACGTTACAGTTATTGTTGCGAATAAACGAACAAACAGATATTATCTCTTAGTCATAGTAGTGCTAACGGAAAAAATCACATGCGTGCAGCGTTTACATGGCGCCGGTCTAATTTAACCAAGCTTTGATGACTGTTTTATTTTTTCTCATATTAATTGTTCAATTCATGTTTTTATTTGTGCACAAGAAAAATGTATATCGATAGTGATAGAATATTGAATGACTGAGAAATATTACATATAATAAGTCAAATTGGCTACACCAATGCCATCTATTTGGTTGCAGTGATAGCAATTTAAGAAATATATAAGTATCACACTTTAAGCTGTAAAAAGTGTTTTTTACAAGAGAAATTTGATAAAAGTAACAGGTACAAGAAAATAAGTATATAATGTAAACAGATCTGTATTCATATTATAAACTCAAAGAGTTTGTTTGACCACGCTTACTTTAGAAACTATTCGAATTGTTTGGAATACTTATCGAAGAGGTTTTAAGCTGCGAACAATAGAAGTGAAACAGTGGGAAATGTGGATAAACTAATTTAAATAATCGAAACAATTGTCAGCGACAGTATATGTATATCCTTTAAAATAAACTCACAAGAACCGTTTTTATCGGATTCAAATTTCGAGAAAATACTTCAAATGACAAAAAAGCGTTTCTCAGGTTTACTAATATAATCGATTTTTTTTTATAATAGAGAATGACAGACAAGCATGTGGTTCGCCTATAGCATCCAAAGAAGATGCACTGTAGATCTATTTTAGCTTTGGATATTCGGAATACTGCAGATAAAAACCGAAACGCAATTAAGCTTCGTGACTTTTTTATCTGTTCGGTGCAGTTCGTCACCCGGGTGGAATTCGGTTTCTATTGAATATCTACCCATTTTTTTTAAATCTTAAATAAATTGAAAAAATTTTCGACTCGGGCTGACTTAAACCGGCGTCGTCAGCGTTCCGTGCTGTTGCTCTACTAATTGAGCTACCGAGTCCTACACCTCATCGTCGAATTTTTAAATGTTAAGGTCGAAATTACATTGCGCGATAGGTGCATGTATCAATAAGTTGAAAAAATTCGACGATGAGGTGTAGGACTCGGTAGCTCAATTGGTAGAGCAACAGCACAGAACGCTGACGATGCCCGTTCAAGTCCTGCCCGAGCCGAAAAATTTTTAAATTTATTTTCGATTTTTAAATTATATAGTGCCTTCATGTGCAATAACATGTAAAAATTAATAAAAGTTTTTAAATATCTACCCTTTTAATATCCAGCTTTTCCATACGAAGTCCAATCTGGCGGGGATCGAACTCACCCGTTGATTTTAGTTTTAAATTTTTAGTAATTAGTCATAAATTGCTACCATTAGAACGACGAGGCCGTCAAAATTACTGTTAATACTATTAAAATTTTTGTAAATCTTTCGAAGGTTTTGTTTCGTAATATTGGCGGCATGTAACCGCCTTCTAACGCAAGTATCAAGGTTTCAGCGAATGCCAAGTTAGTTCCAACGAAACCGCCGATGAGCAATGTGCAATTGTCTATGGAATAGCTCTTTTTACACGAAAATTGTGAAATCCTTTTCATGCTTATTATTAACTCTGGTGATATGATTACCCAAAATATTCATATAAGATAAGATAAATGGATTTGAATCTTGCGTTCTCGTGATTCTGTGCTTCTGGAGAGTGCTATTTGGTTATTTTGAAAAGCAGTGCTTATGTGAATACAAAAAAATTCAACTTCCCCTCCAAACTGCGTCATGTTGAACAGGTACGTTTTTAGATAAAAAAAATTCTTCACTTCACTCAAACTCAAAAGTTCTGAAGGGTGAAAACAAAGATATCAACACAGTTGACAAAGCGCTTTGTATTTTGAAAAATGGCGTAGTTTTAATCAACCCGTTAACTAATACATAAGTGTAACTTAAATTTAATATTCATAAAACTATGGCCGACTCAAATACTGAGGTAGAATAGAAATTTGGAAGAATAGGTTAGTGCGTTTTGGATTGTAAACTTAAAAATATTCGTTAAGTGTAAGAATGTTTAAATTCCATTTAAAACTCGTATAAGGCTTCAGTAAGTTTAGAATTGTTTGTTGTTTGTATGCCTAAGGAAAACAGACAAGCGTGGTCCTTTCGTTATGAGGTAAAATTTTAAATATTGATGATGTGTTGTCGGGTTTAGCATTCGTAAGTCTTTACACACTTATAGGTTAAATTATAAATGGTATACGAGTATATTTTGATTACCCAAATAATTGTCAAATTATATACTTGATATATTAATTTATTAAATACTATCTATAGTTTACGCGAGTAGTACACATTTAAATAAAACACTTTAATCGTTAGAGTCTCCCCGTGACCCCTCCCGGCTGCTGCAAAGCATCCGAAACGTCGGGCTGATAACTGATATATCGCGTTTTAAACCGTTAAGTGTTTTATTTAAATATTAATTTATTGCTAGTTACTTTGAACACGTGAAGAGTGAAGACAGAGAGTTGGCGAGTTTCTTGCCAGTTCTTCTCGTTTATTGTATGCCCCCAATGAGAGAAGTGGTAGTAAATATAAATTAAGACCTCTTAACTTCAACTATGATGTATTATTGACGTATCTAAATTTGTACAAAATGTAGAGCGAGGTCGGGGTCATTAACAGTACTTTCTAGTTCTAACAAAAGTAACCCGTTAATATAATCGGCGGAAAATTGCATTCATTGTTTGAAGTCCTCAATACTCGTAGGAAACTCTAACTTTTGTTCTCAAACAGGAAATGACACTATGCTTTTTCCTTTGGGTGTAGGTATTAGTATATTCTATGAATAAATATTATTTATTTATTACAGCTTTAATATTCGTAATACATTATAAAACAAAATCTATAACAGATAAAATCTCACGTTATCTATACTAATATATAAAGCTGAAGAGTTTATTTGTTTGTTTGTTTGTTTGAACGCGCTTATCTCAGGAACTACGGGTTCGAATTGAAAAAAATCTTAGCGAAGATACAGCGGGAAATGTGATAAAAATTGGAAAACTTATTCATAATTATGGGTTTCCGAGGCGTACATTGCAAAAACGGTACAAGATACCCAAAAAATATGTATGAAAAAATGATTTATT